TAGTTTATATGATATATTTTAGATATTTAGTTTTACATATAATAAATTTAGTATCTTCATTTACATAAAGATATTATATATTCCTGATCCCAGGAATTGCTAAATTCTGTGTATGCTGTGATGGCATACTCCTTTAACTCTGTTTTTTATTTGTCGTCTAGTTTTCATTCTCACTACATTTACCAGTGAACTTTCCCTTGTGTCCATCTATCCAGTCCCTAGTGACTTCCTTCTCTGTAACTTGCTTTATGTCTGTTCTTAATTAGTTCTCTCCCTCATTCCTGAGCTTCTTCAGTCTTCCTTGAAAAACTGAGACTCTATCATCCCACTTTCTATCACTATACAATGCACAGGACTTTCTTCTAAATGCTTGTTAGTTCCTATAGCTGGTATGTGCATGACTTCATGTAGATTTGTCATTTTAATTTCTGTTCTGTTCATTTATTTTCTTTTTCCTTTATAACCCTGATGTCACCAATTTCTATCAATATCTTCACTTTATTTTTCCCTTTCTTTAATCCCACCTAATCTTTTCAAAACAGATCAGTTAAGTCAATTTTTTTCAGCTGCTGTTCTAATCGCTCCATCTTTTAATAACTCTATACAAGTTCAACATCCCCCCTCATTTTCTTTCCTAGCACTTAAACTTAATGATGGCAGTTGTTCCATAAAATCTAAAGCCTTACATTTACTAAAATACAACCAATTTGTAGTCTATACAGAACAGGTTAAATGATAAAAAAGGCTGAAGAACTGGGGAGTGTGTACTTAACAATGAAAAATTAATTAAAAATTACACTTAACTAAAATTAGCATACACTTGTCCTGTACATTTTTGGATTGTGCTTTTGTTTGTATCGCACAGAACTGTCTTATATGAGTGTTGTCCTGGCTATATGAAGATGGATGGTACAAGAGGATGTCCTGCAGGTACAAGCTTATTTTCATATGGATGAGTCAGCATAAGAAGCATTACAGCTCAGGAGACTTTCAAAGATGGCCATCTTGAGAAATTATTGCCTCTTTTTAAGAACTGCTGCCAAGAATACACAGCTTCGTTTGCATACAGCCCACAGAGTTAGAAATCCGCCAGCACTGAATTTGATCATTGAGTTTAAGCTGAATTTCCCAGCTCCTTGCAGTTGAGAGTAATGACTGATAGTTCCAAAAGCTGCCAAAGAACTTTTATTCTTATTTCCACCACACCCCTGAATTATCTAAAAGCATACTAGAGAGATCAGAAACCTAGGGCATGAGGTGTGGCCTATCTAACTTCTGTTTATTCCTTTTTCCCTAGAAGACTTGAATCTTATTTACTAGAAGAGTGTTATAGGCTTTAAATAAACTAAGGAGTGAAAATTAAAATTTAATTAACGAAATTCTTGATTTGCCTTGTTTCTGCTACTCTGTTTTGCACAAATAAAATTAATCAAATCAGGGAAGAGTAATCTGAAAAGAAATATAGTCCATAACTTCAGATCCTTATATCTGAACTATGCCTTTTACATTCAGTAATAGTTAGGCATACCTAAGGCAGAGTTTGTTTATATGAGTTAATTTTGCCTTAGATGTTTACATTAGAATGAGGCCAGTCATACTCTAGAATTGCCTGTTACTCTCCATGACCTTAAAAAGAGCCAAGAACAGCTAGCTCACATATAGATGTCTTGTTTCTAGATGCCTAGGAGAGCTGAATTCAGGTCTCATGTAGCATTGTTTTAACTGTGAGACTATGGACATTCTTACTCTCTGGATGAATCAATATATTCATAAAGCACACACTGGAAGAGCGAGAGGCCTCACAAGAGCAATTCTGGTCCACCAGGACCAAATGAGACCTGCTCCATAGAAATTTTTGTATTATAGATGCAATTTTCTCCTGTGCTTAATGGATAGACAGCCATTTCGGGTTGGATTGGCACAAACCAAAACAGCTATTCTAAAGAAAACATTACAATATTCAGTTTTGTTTGATTTAATTTTTCATTAAGCAAACTGAAAAAATAAGTAACAAGCAGGTGTGTTTGGATGGTTTTTGAGTATTTTGACAGAAAATAGAATTTTAATCCAAGCACATTGTTTTAATATTGGTTTAAACAGTTTCAGAAGGGCAGTACTATTGTCCAAGTGAAAGAAACAGAGAACGTTTGATCGTGAAAAAATGGATGACTGAAGAGTTTACAGTATTCTTATGTTTATTTTAGTTGCTCCTATTGATCATGTATATGGCACACTTGGTATTGTGGGAGCTACTTCCACACAGCAGTATTCTGACATATCAAAGCTGAGAGAAGAGATTGAAGGACGAGGATCATTCACTTTCTTTGCTCCAAGCAATGAAGCCTGGGAGCAATTACATTCAGTAAGTGTGTGTGCGCTCATGCACACATATATGTGTTCAACTGTATTTCTCTTTCAGTTAATGTTGTTTTAGCTGCAACAGCTAGTCTATGATAAGGTGGACCAGAAAAAATATAAATATTTTAGATATAAAAGGACATTGCCCAAGTTATAATAAAATAATTTGCATGTTTAACATGCATTGCTGAATTTAGAGGGTCTGAATTTGTTTTCAGGAGTACTAAGCAACTGTGTTTCTTCATTAAATGATTCCATAAAAAATACTAATATTGTTAATGCTATTAGCACAGTTTGGGGTAAATTCACAGGAATTCCAGCAATTGCATGATGTAGAGTACAATTGTATTTTGTCAGTGATTCAGGTGTCCTTTTAGTAATACATTTAGGTAAATAAATATTGAATCAATGACCTGTCTGTGATGAGAACTCCTGTCTTCCATTTGTGAGCAAATCAGACTAAAGTATCATTTAAGCAGAGACAGATTGACTGGTATCAAGGTCATGTCTCCTAATAGGAAGTATCCATTGCAGCATATATTGAAAACATATGTTAAGGTAACTATATGTACATCTTTCTGACTAGAAGAATGTTTTGAAATTTACAATTAATTAAATTCCTTTCATTTTCAGGAAATTCACAGGAATTTGGTTGACAATGTAAATATTGAACTGTATAATGCTCTCCACCACCACATGGTAAACAAACGTATGTTGACAAAAGATCTTAAGAACGGCATGACTCTGGTGTCTATGTATAATGACCAGAAATTGCTTATTAACCATTATCCTAATGGGGTAAGTCTACTCTCCTTTTTTCCTTTTTTGATTTTTTTTCCACGTAAGAAAATTATTTGATTATAACCATTACTTTTTCCTTTATTTCCTTCTATAGCTAAGAAGACTGGTTATATAAAGTTTAACATGTAGCAAATCAGTTGCCACTGATAAAAATAAGTAAATTTTCTCTTGAAAAAATTTTGTCTGCTGTGTAGACTAATCACTATGAAAGAATGTGCTTTTGCTGTTTAGAAATCAAAGTTCAAATGAAAATGAACTTTCTTCCAAAACAGATGATCATAATAAACTGGGGAGAAAATCTACTATTAATTTTCATGGGCTTACAAAATAATTTTAAATCAGATCTTTCATTTGAATGGGAGTGCATGGCAGAAGCATTTAAGATCATAGGGGACACACTTCCTTTATTTGGCTGGAAACAAAATAACTTTTATAAATGCTAGAAATCTCCCAGTTAATTCACTTATCTTTGTTGCCTTAAAGGCATTGAAACTTATATGTTGGACTACAGTTTACTTTAGTAAAACCAACACAATCACTGTTTTAACCAGATACAGAAACCAAAAGTGAGTAATTGCATTAATGAAACATGACTATGAAATAAACTTTGCCTGAATAAATCTATTGCTGGCTTCCCAGAAGCTGTCAACCTTTCAAATATTACAAGTTTATACTTAAAATTTAGAATAAAACCTGAAAGACAACAATGAATACGGAAAATACACTATATACATTGCTGATCTGTAAGAATCAGATTGCAAGTATATGATCAAAGTAATGCTTAATGTTCTGCTTGATTGTCCAAATATAGGTTGTTACTGTTAACTGTGCCAGGATCATCCATGGCAACCAGATTGCTACCAATGGTGTTGTTCATGTCATTGATCGTGTCTTGACTGCCGTTGGAAATAACATTCAAGATTTCATTGAAGTTGAAGATGATCTTTCATCTCTTAGAGTAAGTGGACAAAAATAAAAACACTTCTCAGGTCTTGTAGGGTTTTCTTTCTTTCTTTTCTATTTGTGTATGATAGTTGGAAGTAAGAAGGGTTAGTTCAGAAAGAGAGAGAAATAAATTAAATTATGAGCTCCGGCTAATATTGTAAATCTGGCTATAGAAAAAGGAAAAGTATATTTTACATAAGAAATCTGTTTATTCTCTTTTGAGGATCAAATAAGACCACATTAATAGGACATAATATGTCCCTGTACATAAAAAGTGTGTCTTCTCTTCAAGCACTGAGGTAGTGAAACATGTGATCATAAATTACCATCTAGTGCTGCTACATATATAAGAGTAAGCTCAAAATGGATGATAGAAAACCCCAATAAATTCCAGAACCTAACTAATATCAAGTTTTGGAACATCAGTAGATGCATGTAGGCAAGATTTTTCTTGTAGAGAGGAAGCAGTTTTTTTCTGCCCGACTTTCTAATTTATTTCTCCTGGGAGATGAGTCTGCTTAGTGTAATGAGATTTCGTGCTGTACATGTTTAAAAGAATATACCATGGTTTCACAAGTAGCTGTTGTCCTTTTCCCTCCTCCATATACTCAATTAAGAAAAAAAAAAAAAAAGGATGTTTGAAATGCAGAAGCATAAATCTGGAAAAGACCCTCTGAATCACTCAAATCTCGTCCATGACAGTTAAAGGCAACCACGTCATTTAATCTCTTTATAAACCCGAATGTATAAGCCAACACTTCCTAGCTGCTAGGATCACACTTGTTTTTCTTTCAGTTGCATCACGTTAAACTCTGCCTTTCTGACTTTTCAAAGGGTGAAATCCCTGTTTATAGCGCATACACTTGCCAATTCCTGTGTGTGTGCCCTTGCTCTTAATACTGCTTTAATGACTTTGGCTCCAAAAGCAACTGTGCTAATGAAACCATTCACAACAAAACCCTGAGACTGGCATTTCTTTTAGGATGGTTATTCCCATCTTCCAATTCACCAGTTTCATATGCACTTTATCTTTCTGTCTCAGGTTGAGCTAATAGTATTTCATCTTTAACTGAGCAAATTCTTTACTCAAGTCCAGATGCATTCAATTTTACACATGTTCTTTTTCTAGAAAATCTGCTAATAATTCATATTGGCGTACTCTGTCATAGTACCCTTTTAATCCTTTGTATATTCTCACAATTATTTCTTGAATGTCCAGAGCTGAGTAACATTTATAATTATAGAATCATATAATCATAGAACGGTTTGGATTGAAGGGGACCTTAAAGATCATCTAGTTCCAACCCCTGCCATGGGCAGGGGCATCTTCCACTAGACCAGGTTGCAAAACCCAGAGACAATTTTTCCTAGTCTCCAAGCCTGAGATGGGATAAAATAGAATATTTTGGTTGGAATTTGATCAATGATCATTTAGCCTGATCATTTCAGGGCTCACCAAAAGTTAAAGCATGTTATTAAGGGCATTGTCCAAATACTGGCAGGCTTGGGGCATTGATTGCCTCTCAGTAAAGAAAAGTTTCCTACAGGCCTGTTCCAGTGTTTGACCGCCCTTCCGGTAAAGAAATGCTTCCTAATGTCCAGTCTAATCCTCTCCTGACACAACAATTGAACAATTCGTATGCATCCTATTGCTGGATACCAGGAGGATCAGCACCTCCCTCTCCAATTACTCTCCTCAGGAAGCTGTAGGGAGCAAGCAGATTGCTCCTCAGCCTCTTGTGATTCAGAACAACTTCTTTGTGTTTAATCAAATTAGTCAAACACCTGTAATACATCTTTTATTGTTTCAGGGGCAAATTATTAGGTTTGATCTGGTTTGTCAAAACCTGTATGTTCACATTTTTCATTTAAAAATTCAGGTCAAAATAATTCCAAATTTTGCCCTGTTGTCACCGCTGTCAGAATTTATTGATTAATCTGTGCTACATTAAAGAGGTAACTCAGTATGTCAAGACACGTTTTCCCCAGATAAATAGTTTTCTATTCCTTATTGTCAGTTTTGTCTTTCTATAGCACAGATCTCAGTCTAGCATTAAAGTACCTGTGGGCTTTAGGCGAAACTAGGCAACTAATGTTTTTTGGTAATATTTTAAATAACCAACAATAAAACCAAATTTATCTTCTAGGCTGCTGCCATCACATCGGATGTGTTGGATACTCTTGGAAGGCCTGGTCATTACACGCTCTTTGCTCCTACTAATGAAGCTTTTGAGAGACTTCCAAGGGGAGTCCTAGAGAGGATTATGGGTGACAAGGTGGCTTCTGAAGGCATGTAACCCTTTTTTTTCAAATGGGAATTGTAGGTGGCTAGATCAGGAGGTAGAAACTACGTTATCCTGCTAGCTCTGAAATTAAGTTCCTGTACTTTCATACAAATGAGAGGAGTTATTTCTTCCATCTCTGATTTTTTCAATTACCTAAGGATTAGAAGCCACCAAAAACTTAGTTTCCAAAATGCTGATGTTTCTGATAGTTCAGCTGCACAGTTAAGATAGAGATTACTGCCTCTAGAAATGCAGGGCTATTAGAATACGGGATTCTCTCATAGCTTTCTCATCAACAGCTTTTTCATACAAAAAGGAAATGTTCTTGAAAAAGGTAAGTTTGGCCTTGCAAGTTGAACTGAATTTGTACTATATATTCTGGCAAACTATAGCAGTCAGCACACTTACCTTTTGAGAACTACGGTAAATCCAAATAATAGCTGAATCAGTCTGTGAACAGTAGTGTAATGGACCACTAAGACACGGAAAGCTGCATTTCTCTCTCTTCTATGATCTCCCTGCACTAAACAAGTTCTCCATCATTTCATTTTAGCCTGGTTAAGTCACTGTGCAGTATCTCAATGAAGAATGGTGAAAAGAGGGATCTGGGCCAATTTTAATGTGAGACAATGAATAAAAATGGAATCCTGAAATAACACAGCTTTCTTGATGTGGCTTTTTATTAATTTTTTCCAGTTTACTTTCAGGAATTTTTGGCTGATTCTTTTGGTACTCACAGAGGATAGCACACTGAATCTCAGTTAATATAGTACGATAAAATACAAATCCGGGCCAGCTTTGCATAGCCTATGAAGTTGTGTACTTAGAGGTCTATTTGGAGCCTACCATCTTCAGTCACTGAGTCAAATACTCTATTCCATGCAGGTTGTCACATAAACTGTATAGTTTTCATAATAGCAGGGATGCCAAAGATTTTTGACCATACATGTTGTTTAGAGGCCTGTAGGATCAATTCTCAAAGAAATAACTTTCAATAAAGAATCTGAGTGTAAATAAAAGTGCTAGATAAGCTAGTAAACTGTTAAAAATAGTGTAGATATTTTATCCCCCACCTATATGTGTATTTTATGTATATATATGTGTGTGTATATATATAAATATATGTATCTAAATACCTATATACTAATGTCCTGATCTTTTCTCCACAGCTCTAGTGAAGTTCCATATTTTAAATACTCTCCAGTGCTCTGAAGCCATCACTGGTGGAGCTATCTATGAAACCTTGGAAGGAAACACAGTTGAAGTTGGTTGTGATGGTGAAAGTCTGACTGTGAATGGAGTGAAAATGGTAAAACGCAAAGATATTGTGACAAGCAATGGCGTCATCCATCTCATTGATGAAGTCTTAATTCCTGATTCTGGTCAGTGATGTGTATGAATCTTCTTACACTGAAGATGTTTTCTACAATCTTACCTGTATTCCCTCAGTTATGTTGTTATGGATAAGCATGGAGAGAGAATCCAAATTAGGAAAAGGAATAAACTGTGTATTAAAATGTTTTTTTCTTATTTTATTTGTAGCCAAGCAAGTCATTGAGCTTGGTGGTGCCCAGCAGACTACTTTTACAGACCTGGTAGCACAGCTAGGACTCGCATCTTCTCTAAGACCTGAAGGCCAATACACTCTTCTGGCACCTCTGAATGGTGCTTTCTCAGGTTGGTAGCCTTAAAAGATTATGCTCTGAATGTCGAAATAAATAAGAATATATGCTACATATTAATATCCACATTTTTTTAATAGATGACACCTTAAGGATGGATCAACGCCTTCTTAAAACAATCCTTCAGAATCACATTATAAAAGTGAAAGTTGGGCTCAATGAACTGTACAACGGACAAGAGCTGGAGACAATTGCAGGAAAATTGCTTAGGGTCTTTGTGTATCGCACAGTAAGTGAATGGGACTTTCTAACACTATGTATCCCAACTATGAAAATGAAGAGTCATGAAAGAGTAAAAGACAAAGCTGAATAAAACCTCCAGCATCTACCAGCATGATTATCTAGCAAAAAATGTCAAGATTTTAGGCTAAGAAAGTGTGAAAATCTAATCTTTATCAATAGGAACTTTGTTCGCATGGAATACTCTTTGGGAAAACAAACCAGAATTCCATATTTGGCACTCCATTAGTTAATTTTTAATATTTTTTTGTTTGTTTGTTTAGGACGAGTTAAGAGAATTCTCAAGGGAAGCTAAAAAATCAAGTTTGGAAATATTTACACCATATTAACTTACTCCAGATTTTGCTACTTTTGTAGCAATACCAGATTTCCTGGCAAGAACACGAAATTTGACTGTAGGAAATACATACGAAACTTATTTTTAAATTTTGAAACCTGTAGGGAAGTATGTATCCATCTCGTTTTATCAGATATGTTTATGTGTATATCATTGCCTGAATAGCTACACTTGTTACTCTTTTAATCAGGCTGTATGTATTGAAAATTCATGCATGGTCAGAGGAAGTAAAGAAGGAAGGAATGGTTTTATTCACATCTTCAGACAGATCATCAATCCAGCAGAAAAGACATTGCATGAAATGCTGAGGAATGATAAGCGTTTTAGGTGAGTAGTGGTTTTGACAGCACTGCGATTTTCCTAGAGATGGCAACTGTAGGATATACAGTGCAGCTGGTCAGAGAAATAATTGTGGACTGTGGGTGGTTGGATTTTGAGGGGCATGGAGGGCAGGGAAGGGGTTATTGCCTCCTCAAAAAAAAAAAAAAGAAAAAAGGGGAGGAAAAGAAAAAATGGGAGATTGGGGAACAAAAAGTGTTCTTCTCTAGCTATATACTGAAAGAGCTCTCAGACTTACTGTTACAATGGTTGTTTAGGTACATAGACATCAGTAAGTCACCAGGGTGAGAGGAGTAAAAAGTCAAAATTAGATGATGCCTCCAGAACTATAAATACAGCAGTGTGTGGTGGTTTATTTAATGAGTAGTACAATTCCATATGGGTGCAGCATGCTTTTATGCCCTTCCAGTACATATTTCTGTCTCCTTCCTGCAAGTATCTCAATACTTTTAGAAAGAACAACTACCCTTGTCATCCTCCCTTCATGTCTTTGATTTGGGGGGATTTAATTTGATGAATTCTGCTCCAATACAGTCTGACAACTCTTCTTTTTTTTCACCTTAAATCCTTTTTCCTCAGTCTGCTGCTCTTACAACTGTCCTTTTTTCTCATTTTCCTCCTTCACTGTCTTTATTTCTGGGAAATAGTAAGATCGTTGCATTATCAAAAAATAAGGAAACTAAATGCCCTATAAATACTTCATTAGAATGTATTTTTGGTTTGTTTCTCTGTTGTAAACAGTGTTTTCCTCAGTCTGGTGAAAGCTGCAGATTTAGATGATGTTCTGTCACGACCTGGAGAATGGACTCTATTTGTTCCTACTAATGATGCCTTTAAAGGTTTAACTGATGATGACAAGGATATACTGATAAGTAAGTAACATAAGAAAAATAGCAATATAAGCAAAGGTAAAATTGAAGGGAAAGGTGGCTTGTGCTTTTCTTATGCAAAAGTTATCTGATAAAACAGTTTACTTTTGACTAAGAGCAGGTCATAGGCCATCCTTAAATTCATTCCTTCTTGGGGAATAGAGAAAATATCTTTTTGGAAAAAAAACCCAGCCAACCTGAATTTAAACTTCAATCCTTGATATAGTATTATTCCAAGATGTAATTACCATTAAAGTAAAAATCTGCATTTGTTTAATTAGCTTTAACTTCTCGTTATTCAACCTTGCTATTTTTTTTCAGCTGAAAAGTCTCTTCTATCCTCTTTCTTTTCTAGTTGTGACCATTGTATTAAAAGATATGTACTACTGACTTTCCTATCTCCTTTCTCTTCTCTGCCCAGTGATCTCTAATATCACTTGTGCTCTACAAGTCAAATATTTAATATGGATTGTTAAATTCAATTTGATGTAATTTCTTTTCATCTCACAATTTAAACTCCAGAATTCTATAGATTTTTCACAAGATTTAGAAGTGGTTTCTAGAATGTCATGCTTTATTACTGTAAGAGAAGAAATGCACAGTGAATACTTCATACCTCCTGCAGAATTTCCTACTAAAGAGGTAGACTGGGGCCATAGCACTACAACTATTTTTAGTTTATTTGAGAGTAATGTGAATGTAGCCTTTTGTCTTTTCTGCCTGATGTCTTTTCTCCCTGAAGTAAATAGCAACTTTCTCCTCCCCCAGTTTGGAAAACATGAGTGTATAAAGAATTGTGAGCCTGTGCACAAGTACAGGGGGAGTGATTGCCTTGAATCCCACAACCAGAAGATCAGTCAGATTTCCTATTACTGCACTTTTTAGGCCAAAATTTGAAGATGTGAAACCAAATCCCATGAATCCTTAATACCTTTGAAGAATACAGCTCAGAGCATTGATAAGCAGCAACCCAGCTCTCTACAGCCTTTAACTCACTGATGAGGTGCTGTGAATTTGAATTATCCATCTCTTCATCCATTTAAAGTCATGATAGTGGTCTAAATTACCTTCTAGTGTGGTGTGTCTAGTGACTAACAGTGAATGAACAGCTAAAATGACTAACATTAGCTAGCTATAAAATGAAATGAAGCTTGTTCGAAGGCTGCGAACTGAAGTAACTGGCTAAATGACATTGTTCTGTTTTTATTGGACTATATTCTGTGATATAGTTATTTTATTAACTAAGATTGGATTTATCAGGTCTATTATTTTTGTCTTAATTAACAACTTGATGTTGACCTCAGGGCCCATTCCATTTTGGATTATTTCTATAATTAAAAATACAATTATATTCTGCTTTTCAAAGTCTTTATGTACTCTCTTTTCCTGTTGTTACTCAGTTTCTACTTACCTTCCTTGGCAGATGAGATTTTAATTTACCCTCTTTTTTCCTTTTTTTTTTCTTTTTTCTTTTTTTTTTGCAGCAGAATGTCCATTTTTTGTGTCAGATTATTTTCTGGAATTCTGTCTGTCTTGGCTTTTTTGAAGACATTATATTGCTTTTTAAGGAATATAAAAACATTTTTTTTATCAGCTGTAAGAAAGACACAAAACAAAGATTATTTTAACCAGTAACTATTGTGGCATAGAGCAAAGCTAATCTGACAGTTGGTGAAATCAATTTTTGAATGGCCATTTTTAGACTTTGCATGTAACTTGATGCTATCTATGAATGGTCCAGTCAGAAAATCTCAGTCCTAATTTTAGTAAGCAGAAGAGCATTTAATTGCATTTCAGTAGTAAAGTGAATTGCAGTAATACCAATGATCAAAACAAAAAGCAGAGTAAGAAAATTTTCTCTGAAAGAGGCATCAGGAAAAAATTCTAACCAGCATTTTTCCATTGCAGTTTCATCAAGGCTGAAACTCCTAACAACAATCAATATCAGCATGTAATGTTAATATGAAACTTGTAATAGCATGGTCAATAATACATGTAATGGCAAGCAGATGTGTTTTAGAACTGCTCTGTTTGGTACCTGGTCTCCTGTGAGAGTTGTGGGTATTCCTGCAGCTCACCCTACGACTCTGAAACTACATGAACCCAGAGCATCAGAGACCCCTGTCAGGACAATGATTTCAGCTCCAGAAACAATTTCCTTCTTAAAAAAGTCTTGAAAATGTTGGCTTTCATTTTCTTTACTTCCCAAATAGGAATGTCAAACTTTGAAATACAGAAATTATTCTTATAATAGGGTGTTTTTCCCCCTTTCCTACTTCTTTAAGCTGTGTCTGTTCTCTGTAAGAACAGACAAAACCATCAATCCAAATGACGCCTTTTCTGGCTGAAGTAAATAGCAACTTCCTCCTGCCCCAGTTTGGAAAAGATGAGCGTATAAAGAATTGTGAGCTATCCCTAGCCATCTCAGAAGCATGTTGCCATAGTAGAATAATTACATTAATTTTTAGATATGGTTCCTTTTGATTGCAACAGTGCTAAAATTGGAATTTATCTACTAGCTTGGTGAAATTTGATGTTGCCAACTGCTTAGTGGTACTGAAATGATTGTTTTTGCAAATAATTTCTGGAGCATATTTAAGAAAAAGGCAAGAAATTCTGATTATAGATGCAAGGAAATAATAGGAAATAATACAGAAAAAAAAAAAAAATCCAAACCCAGGATAATGCTGGCTGTTTTTCCATTGTTTTGTATAGGAGTTCCCATAGTACCTTTAAGATTATGTTCTGAGTATCTTTTTTGTCATACAGTTGGGGTTTTTCCTCTATCTTCGTTTTAACAGTTTTAAATTCTATGTGTTCATGGTAGCTTTATTTATGCTATGCTTAATTTCATCTCAAGTCTGTGTGAATCCATGAATTCCCAGAAAGAAAGAACTATCCACAATCATTTAATTATTACTCCTACTTTTCTTTTTAAATAGGAGACAAAAATGCTCTCAGGAATATTCTTCTTTACCACTTGACACAAGGAGTTTTCATTGGAAGTGGCTTTGAACCTGGTGTGACAAACATTCTTAAAACCATCCAAGGAGGGAAACTCTACTTGAAAACAGTTAAGTGTTGAGAAAGAAGTCTCCCTGATACAGCCTTGTAATAGGGATTTGACATTCCATGACTATCCACATTACAGAATGGGATGCATTTCTCTGAACATTATATTAGGATTTAGGATTATTTTTTGGTGTTCTTAATAACTTGTGTTCTCTTTTCATCCTTTACCAGGTGAATGATACCCTCCTGGTTAATGAACTCAAATCAAGAGAATCTGATCTCATGGCAACCAACGGTGTCATTCATGTTATTGATAAACTCCTATATCCAGCAGGTTAGTATCAGTTCGTGGAACTCATACACACTCTTCCGAATCTATTTACATGTTATATAGGTGAAATAACTCCAAAAAAAAGTTAATTCCTTTAAAAAGACTATTTCTATGTGGAATAAGAAACAGAAAATTTACCTCACTACTCATTTTGTGGAAGAACCTTGGTTGAAACGATGGCAACTCTTTAAAATTCTGTGAAAGACAATTAGATGGTAGACAAGATGCCGTAGGCTATCTTTTCCACTAATATGGAAGAACGCATATGTACAAATACACACTTGTCTGAGTGTTTGAGAGTGATTACATATCCTGATCACTGTAAATAAAAGCAAAATGGACACAGATGTATGTTTTCTTTTACATGTCTATTTCTTTTGTCAGATCTGCCTGTTGGAAATGATCAGTTGCTCACAATCCTGAAGAAGCTGATTAAGTACATTCAAATTAAGGTACTCTTTAAACAATGATCCCTTTGTCCTTTTGGCAGGATATGTGAGACTGTGTACATTACAATTCATAAATGATTTTCTGGTCCTTCTGTTTCTTCAGCAGACAACACATTCAATGTTTTTCAGTTACCCAAATATAATCATGAATCATAGTTTGCATTTAGTAGTTAGAATTTATATTTTCAACACCAAATACTTGCAGAATATTTGCATTTGAATAACTCTAATGTGAATTGGTCCAAATCTGTTCTTTGGTTCAGGTACAATTTATCACTCCAGCAAAATAAATCACTTCTAAATTCTTGAGGCAATCTGTCTTTGAAAGAAATGCTCAGTGGCTAAATTGCTATGTCATTAAAACCACCAGCTTCAATAGCCTGTGGAGAAAAATAGGAATCTTTATCTATCACAGCTATCCTTTTGAGATTACATTTGCCCTCAACAATGAATGAGAGGATGAGAGGACCTAAACAAACCTCTAGATCAATGAAGCAGTGATCCTACTAACACTCATTAGGAAATTAGAAGGCAAGTGCTCTTTCTTCTAATTTGTAAAATTACTTTTCTGTATTTATAGTTTGTTCGTGACAGTACCTTCAAAGAGATTCCACTGACATTTTACAGTAAGTTCATTTTAAATATTACCAGATGGGTTTGAGATGATTGCTTTTTAAATATTGCCAATTCCAATCTTGAATTGCAGATCTTTTTAATTTTCACTCAAAAAGAAAGCAATTTCTGGGAAAGTAAGATGTGCCAATAAAGCACAGGAAGAGAAAGACTCAAAGTAGAATATTTCTGGCTGCTGTGCTACTGTACATATTTTTTCCCTTTCCAGATGTGTGACAGGAAAATAACCCTGAAGTAAGCTGTTCAAATTCTTTGGAGTAGGGAAGATACATATGGAAAACATTGGGGTTTTTTTCAGTTTTCAGCCAAGGTTCAATGGTTGATGCATAGCAGAGTTGTACTGCCTCTCTCTCCAAAACGTAACATTGTACTGTGCTGACTGTCCAAGATGTAGGATTGACCAAACTTTGCACTGAGATGTTTTCTTTTTCATAAATGCTTCCAGAGGGCCAGAATGTACCTATTTCACCTGTCTCCCACCCATGCAAATATTACGCTTATATGAGAGGTGGTTGTTCTAACCATTTTCTCTTTAGGGAGCAAATGTAAAAAAGGAACCATTTTTGCTCTCTTGCAGCCTTTCTCAGGGTTTGCCTTTAGTTTCTACGTATAAAATAGAACCCATTGAAACAAACCATTAGAAGACAAAGGTTCTGCTGAAGCTTTGGCTTGTGAGGAAATGCGAATTTAGGCAGATGAAATTTCTACAGGATTCTACACGCATTTCTCAATAGAAATGGAGACCATCACATGAGGCTTTTGAAAATTGAGAATGGACACACTGAATTTAAAAGACTCTTGAAACAAAACAAAAAAAAGAATTATTTATCTTGACAGTAAATTTTATATGAGCCAACAATGTGTTCTGACAGTCAAAAGGGCACGCCATGTCCTAGGAGCATCCACCAACAGCATAACCAGCCAGTTGTGGCAGGTGATTGTTCCACTCTGCACTGCACTGATGCAGCCCCATGTCGGGTACTGTGTGCAATTTGAGGTGCCTCAATATAAGGGCAAGAAGGTAAAAGGTCTCAAGGGCAAGACTTTTGAGGAGCTGCCGAGATCGCTAGAGTTGTTCAGCTTTGTTGACCAGTGATAGGACATGTGGAAATGGAATGAAGTTGCGTCAGGGGAAGTTCAGACTGGTCATTAGGAAACAAATCTTCACTGAGAGGGTGGTCGGTCACTAGAACAGGCTCTTTCAGGGAAATTATCATGGTACCAAGCATGTAAGAGTTCAGGAGTGTCTGAACGATGCTCTCAGTCATATTGTTTAGGTTTAGGTAGTCCTGTGAGGAGCAGGGACTTGGACTTAATGATCCTTTTGGGTCCCTTCTAGCTTGAGATATTCTGTGATTCTATCTCCTATGGCCAGTGAGTAGCACGAGAAGCAATGCCTGTGAACTGAAGCAAGGGAGGTCAATGCCAGACATCAAGAAAGTTTTAACTGATGATTGAGTTAAATGCAGGAATGGAAAGACTGGAACCTTTCTACCAGCAAAAGCTTCTCTATCAATGAATGGATACAAGTCAAATAACAATCTATCAGAGCTATTCAATGAATATTTGAGTCTGTCTTAGGTGTGGAGGGTGAACTTGATCTTTCAAGGATACCACTGTGCTTTCCATGACGTTCTATCAAGTGCAAGAATAGTTCTGAATGTTGCAGGGTTTCCTCTGTTTACCAGGTCAACTCCCTGATAAAAAGAGCAAGATTTTAATTTATGTCTGGGAATTGTACAAATTTTTATGAAGGGAATTAAATAATCCATTATTATTATGTACCTTACATTATCATGGGTTTCATGACTAGTGGGTTTTGTAAGGGAAATAGCATGTCAGCATACTCTGTCTGACTTGTATACACAACCATTTAATAACTAGAACTGAGATCCATACTCTAGATCCTTTTGAGTTACTTTTCCATCCATTAATATCTATGATTCTATCCACATATTTTTGACCAGAACAAATGTAACTGATAACAGTAAAGAAACTGTAAGAATGGAAGGTGCTTTATATTCCATTTTCTGTACTTTCAGAAATTAACATAATTGAAAGCAACGTCCAGCCCATCATCAGAAAGGAAGGTAAATGAGGCCCTTAGTATATATATTTCTGTATATGTTCAAATACATATATAGAATATATATTGCATATATTTCTTTTATAGGATGTTTTTGTACTTAGCACTTTGTTAGAAATGCAAAGATACAAATATTGTAATTAGAACTGGCTGAAATATTTTGTATAAAAATATTTACCATAATTATTCTCCCAAACGGATTTTCTCCTTTTTCCATGGTCATTTAAAAAAATATTTTTTAAATAAACTTTTTTTGAAACCTTTCTTTGTGTGCTTGAAATCTGAGCATACTTTCAATGAAAACATGTCCCTTTGGTATTAATTTTTTATTAAAACATTCTAAAATCCCTTTTAATTAAAACTTTTTTTTTAATTAAAATAGGTATTTAAAAAAATTAATTAGATTTGTTTCTTGTACTTTGAAGGAAAAACGATATCTGTTCCTTTCTTTATCATTTTCAATCAGTTCTAAATATCAATATCTGTCAGATGCCTGGAAAGGACACTTAGCCAAACTTTTGGTTTTCAATTTCTCAAGACAAAAGCATGACTTAAAGATTGGTGAAGGGACTGAAGAGAACAGAAAGTGGATCTGGTACTGCCAAGTCACTCATGATTCATAACTTAACTAAAACACCCATTTGTTCACTAGATCAGGTACACAGCTAATGAGCTCCATTTCCCCATTGAAATAAAAATGCTGAAAGGGAATCAGGTTGAGCTTAACTGAAGACAACAGCAGTTAAAAATGTCTTGCAAAAATTTTATCCAGATTGTTTAATCATTGTTTCTGGGAAGACTTCCAGCAGAAATTACATGATCTTGCTTTTTCAGCAGCTTGTCTGTGCTTCGTCTCACTTAGGATCAGACACCATCTTGCATATATGATGATCTTTGTTGCCTAGTCTCCATCATAAAATCAGATCCACAGAACAATATAAATAGATAGATGATTACACATGGCAGTTCAACCAAGATATTTTAGAAATCTTCCTATGGTAAAGGTAAATCACTCTCTGAACGTACCTGTTCTATGTTAAAACAGGGACAAATATATGTTAATCAGAGACAAATACAGGTTAAAACATAAACAAATATAGTTTAGCTGATTTACACAATGTTTAGAACTTGAAACAAAAAATTAAATGTCTGAGCACTTCTGTAGTCAAATATACAAGTGTTGAATGTTATTCATTCAACTATATTAATTTCTAGTGAATATTACTGACCAGAAAGAGAAAAAAATAACTTTATATGTTAGTGAGTATTGAAGAGTTATCGTTTCCACTGCTAGGACAGTGCTTCTGCTTTGGGACATGCTCCAGGGAACGATCTCTGGCCAATACAGCCTTTCTGCTGATGATTCAGAAAGAGACCCGATAAAGCCAATTCTGGCCCTTCTGAGCTTCTAGTAGTAACAGTAGTGAGTGGCAGCTCATATCAAAACCACATAAGCACATGGTTTCTGTAGAAAGATGCTGGCAAAGTTGCATGTTAATTTGTGCAACATATGTCAGGAAGTTCTAGCAGATCAGGATGGAAAGAAGATTTCAGTAAAAAAGAAAAATCACCAACACCAAGTTTAGAGGGTGATGGCTGCCCTTTCCTATCTCAGTGTTTCCTACTTGAGTTTTGCTTCCATTGTCCATACATAGGCAAGTTAAAGAGATCTGAAGAGTTAAATCTGATTGATTTATTATTAATATTTAGTATTAAATTAGTATTAAATGTTCAAAGGATTGATCCTAGAGAAGACATTATAGCAAACTATGGTTTTACCTTTTGTTTTGCATACACCTGCTGTATCAATCACATAGGAAGGTACAGTAATTTAGCAATCTTAAAAAAAAAAAAAAAAAAGTATTTTAATGAACATTCATTAATATACATTTGACATGTTTTCATTACTATTCAACATTTGTATCGATGTATTTTAATATTTAATGGATTCTAAACATGCAAAAATGCCTCTAAATTTAGAACAGAAGCAAGTAAATGAATATTGTAAGATTTTTTTAAATATTAAGAATGTTTTTCAGCAAGATTTGTTAGAAATTAATAGAAAAAGCAACAGGTTGCTCAGTTATTTAAAATGCTGAATAGAGCTCTATAATAACTAGGCATCATTATGATCCTATCATATAATTTCATCTGCAGCAAACAAATGAGTTATTTAGCTCTAAATTCTAACTTATACAATCATCTGCTGCAAAAGCAAACAAAAACGTATGTTTAGATTTGTTACTATTGAAGGACACTAGTTAGCCTGAATTGTACTGTTTTCAACAGTTAACACCTTATAGGTAGTAATAGGCATGTGTATTTAAAGCTACTGTTAGATCCTGGTCAGTAATTAAAAGCCAAATAAATCCATGCAGTATTGACTTGTGCATAAATTCATATAAAGAAAGGGTTTTAAGGAAAATGAGAGAGATGGACTGTGTTAAGTTTCTAAGTCTGAAAAATGAATAAAGGAACTGTCTGCTACAGCAAGTTCTTAAGTAGAATTGCTGCTGTAACACTCATTACGGAACTGTGTTATTCCTCTAAAATGACTGCATCAGTGGTATCTTCCTAATTCGTTTCGTATCTGCTGCTCCAGCCCGTCAGACAGATATACACTTGGATCAGTGTGGTCGATAGGGACTGTACGAGATTAAGATGCTTGTTTTGGCTATTGAAATTAAGATGACCTCTCCCATGAAACTCAAAAAATGTCAGATATTAACGCTGATAGATATTCTGACAGCTGTTCCAACTGATCTCTGAAGTTTATTTTTATTTCTTTAAGCTGGGTGACCACTGGCCAAGACTTGATATCTTTAAAAAAAAAACCAAGCAAACAAAAAAAACCCCCCAAAACCTCCAAGTTGAAACTCCCTCAAACAACTAATTAAAAACCCTCCTAAAACAAGCTAAAATATAACACCCCCCAAACCAATAAATAATGAATAAATACATAAATTAGCCATAAGGGAATTCTGATTGAAAGACATAGTTTCCTCTTGGATATCTACACAGTTAGTTGCAAATAACATGAGAAACCTTTCTCTCTCTAGTTCTTTTCTAAGCTTTCACACAGTAGTTTGCATGCTGATCACTTGTGGAGCAATAGCTGTAAGATTCCAGCAACACTACAGAGTAACCTTCTTACCCTTATATGTAAAGGAAGACTTCCTTTCGGCTTCTGAGGATCTGGTTTTGAGCTGAGACTTGTCAACAGATGTTAAAAATAATCAGAAACATAAAAGTAATAAGATTGTATATAATATGCAGTAGGATCTGAATTTAAGATTGAATGGGAGGAAGTGCATGATTGACAGCATTGATGCAAATGGTTTCTCAGATTTTAAAAATCCTTATTAACAGTTATCTGGCTTATTTAGGATAGAGGGAATAATACTAGCTTCATCTCAGCCCTGTGGAATATCGTAAATGTTTTTCTGACTATGTAACATGTTGTTTTTTTCCTATGTCACAGACCCATCTAACACACAGCTCACTAAATTTATTGAAGGGGAACCTGAGTTCAAAATAGTCAGGGAAGGGGAGACAGTAACTAAAGTGATTCATGGAGGTTGGTATGCTTTCAGCAACTCACTTTTTACTAGTTAAAATCTGAATCATTCATTATTCCCAGACAGTTTCTAATTTATGTAGGTGGTGTTACGTTAGAAAACTGTTTTGTTTTTAACAAGACATTCTTGAAGCTTTGTAATATTATTGGACCATTTAATTCTCACTTCTTGTGCATTTCAAAAAACTGGGATTTTTTTTGCCTAGCTGTGTCCCATAGTTACAGTCAAGACATTGTTAGAAATATTCTGCATGCTGACATAACATCTGTCTTACTTCAGAATTATTTGCTGGGTTTTGTCCTGCAATCAAAAATGTAGCATGTGATTCTGTGATAGAAAGGCAATTTTTACCAGACAGAGAGGTAAACTTTGCCTTCTGCTTTGCTAGGGGCATCAAGAAGTTTACATCTAGGGTTCTTTTTAAAGGAAAACAAAGTGTGGCCATCCTAAATTTTGAGAAAACTTAGTTCCTGGTCTTCTCTGAACATTTTTATCTTTTGTAAAATATGCTATGGCTTTTCCTTTTCTGCTTCAGCAAGTTATAGCATCTCAAAAACAGCACTTGTAACTCTGTTCATTGCTTGCTTAATGTCTTCAATTTAAAAATCCTTATAGAACCAATCATTAAAACATACACCAAAATCATTGATGGGCGACCTGTGGAAGTGACAGAGAAAAAAGTCACAGAAGAAAGAATTATTCAAGGTAAATTATGCCAAGCTATTCAAACTTACTAAAGTTCACCATTACATACAAAAGTAACATAAATTAAATTCAGTGCTAATGCCTAAACTGCATTTCCTGAAGAGTTTAGTTTTCCCTAATGCTTCCCATTGCCTATGTATGGCCCAAATTCTGGCTGTGTGTGCTACATGCGCATATACGGAAATAGCAACAATATTTTAACAGAATGCAAAACAATAATTTTTTTTTTTTTTTTTTTTTTTTTTATGTCTTTGCTAAATGCCTGAGATGAGACTGCTTTTATTGCACTTGTTTAGTCTGGCTTTCTTTAGAAAGAAGGCTTTTTTTGTGTGAGTGAGTTTTGGGGTTATGTATCTCCAGGTAGGTTTCATTTGACCAAAAGAAGACCTTCAGTGTGTAGATACCTACTTCTGCGTGTCATCCCAGGCTTCCTTGACAGTCTTTTCTGAAAAACAACTTCTCTGTTTCTTTGTAAGGAATGGCCTCCATTGACATTTGAGACATTTTTATTTAGCTAATATAAGATAAAATTAATGTGCGTCTGTGTGCCTTGATCTTCTTCCACACTAACTTTCAAACTCTTTGGCGAATTTCAACTATATTTCACCTAATACAGATTTCTTTAAGAATCCTAGAAACTTCACAGAAATTGAAAAGTGGAGTGGGGCATATTTAAACAGTCACAAGTTCTTTATTAAAACATTTTGATCTCCTTGGTTAAGTATCAGTCTGAATGCTGCCATTAAAATTCTGTCTGCTGGAGCAGCTGTAAGGGAAAGACAGTGTTATAGGGACATATTGACTTAGCAGGAAGTCATTCAAGCAAGAGAGAAATAAAGAACTACAATGAAAATAACTGAATAAAAAACGTTGGTGGTTTCTGAGTAAATGTGGATCTATTTTTCAACACAGAGTTTCTGGGGGAGAAAATAAAATGTCATTTTCTCATTTATCAAATTCAAATTTCACTACTATTCCACATTATATATAATGTAAAATGCCAATGTTTCAAACCTAGTATCTTCCTTTCTTCCCTCTGTACTAGAAACTGACAAAGAATCTCAAATATTATGATTTGAAATTATTCATAGCAGTAATAAAAGCAACAACATTGTCCTGGGTTCAGCTACAGCAGTCATTTTTTTCTCCTTCTTAGTAGCTGGTGCAGTGCTGTGTTTTTGACTTTCAGCCAGGGAACAACGCTGATAACACCGATGTTTTTAGTTGTTGCTAAGTAATGGTTGCTCCGACCAAGGACTTTCTCAGTCTCATGCTCTGCCAGGGAGGAGGGGAAGCCAGGAGGAAGCAGAGACAGGACACCTGACCCAAACTGGCCAAAGGGGTATTCCATACCACAGCACGTCATGCCCAGTATATAAACTGGGGGGAGTTACCCGGAAGGCCCAGATCACTGCTGGGGTCAGTCTGGGTATCGGTCAGCAGGTGATGAGCAATTGTATCCTCTCCCCTCGTTATTTCCCTTATCATTATTATTATTGGTAGTAGCAGTAGTGGTTTGTATTATACCTTAGTTACTGGAGAGCTGTTATCTCAACCCGTGGGAGTTACATTCTTTTGATTCTCCTCCCCATCCCTCCAGGAGTAGGGGGAGGAAGAAGTGGGGGGGGGAGTGAGTGAGTGGCTCCCTGGTTCTGAGTTACCGGCTGGGTTTAAACCACAACAAACATCTATTTACAACAGTGGATCCAGAGACTTTTTGCACTTTAGGAAATATGTGATCTATGACCTAATGCAACAAAATGTTTAAAACTGTTTCTTAAGTATGAGAGAAGATATTTACTGTAAGCATGTTAAATTTGTATAAGTACTTTCCTGAGTACTTCTAAATACTATTAGTAACCCTCTTGCACTTTGATTTGGGAAACAGTGAAAGTAAATTATCACAAAAGCAGATTAAAGAATCTTAGCCATGGAACCATCCTAAGTGTTAAATAGGAAAAATTAACTTAAAAAAGCAACCGTATTACATCTGAGAAAATCACTGTCTCACATATCTTGTTTTCAGGTCCTGAAATAAAATATACCAGAATTACGGCAGGTGGTTCAGACAACGAAGAAAAGTTAAAGAAATTGCTTGAAGAAGGTTAGTTTCCTTGTTTTCTTCCCTTCCTTTAACAAATCAATATTAAAAATTATATTACTTAAGTAATTACTGAATGGATGCTTCATGTTTTCAGCAAAGGTGCTTATACTGCAAAATCAAACCCAGAGGTTAAACCTCAGAACCTGAGAAATCTCGAAACCTAGTGTTCTGGTTTGAGTCTCTGATCTTCACATTTCAGTCATCTCCAAAGTTGAGGCTGCCTGGGTCATAGCATAACAGTATGCTATGTTTCTCATAAAATATGGTGGGTTTAGTGTTTACATAGAATTTAATATCATAACAGATTAATTTTGTAATTCAGCAAAATCTATAACAGGATTAATTCAATAATATGCTGTTACAGAATTGTCAAATGTTTTGTGTAAATCAACTTCTTGCCATAACCTGTATCCTATCAGAGGTTACCAAGGTGACCAAATTTATTGAAGGTGATGGTCATTTACTTGAAGATGAAGAAATCAAAAGACTTCTGCAGGGAGGTAATTCAGTGTATTATAACTAACCTTTTTGCAACAGGTTATGATAACTGAAATGCCTCTCAGATATATTGATCTCAACATTTTAAAGACTGACCTAGTGGAAATGGAATTTTAATGGCATAAAAAATAGAACTCCATATATGAAGTGTCAGATGCTTGTGAAATGGAAATAAGTATCATAATTTTATTAATTTTTCTTTTTATTACATTGATCATGAAAAAAATATAATATTTGGTGATTTTCAGTCTTTAAAAAGTTATCTAATTAAAACTCAGGGGAGCAATGAAGATTTATTCCTCTAACTGTGAACTCTTCATTTTTTATTTTTTTTTCTTCTTGTCCCAACAAATTTAAATCTGTGAAAAGCACTTATGAAGTGGGAAGTATTGTAATAAGCCAAATTCATCTTATTTATCAGTTCTTCAGAAATGAATATTCATTGCCCTCAAGTTAATAATTCAAGGCATGTTTAACATCCTTCTTTCAATGCTTACAGGTGATGAATATCAAGGCATTAACTATAATTCTCTTCACATATAGCATTCCAAGGAATGGTTTTCTTTCCTTCTTGCTCTCTTAATTCTAACAGTTTTGGCAATATATAACCAATAGCTGTAGAAAACTAGTAAAAGAACTTGTGCTTAAGGAATTAATCTTTATCTATTAATTTGGAATGTTCTTTGCTTAATGTAGATTACAAGAACTGTATATAATAGCAAAGGGGAATGAAAGAAAGAATTCAACTGACGTGTTTTTAGTAAATGTTAGTGTAAACCTGAGCCAGAAGCTCAAAAATATGTATGAATGTTTCTCTTGACATAAATGAATTGAAGCCATTTCATTTTATGTTCAATTTTTAGTAAGTTACAATCTTGATTTCTAGTGAAATAGTTCACAGCCAGCGTGTACAATCAATTAAATCATGTAGTCCTTCAAAAGCACTATTCTATAGATATGTCTTCAGTTAGGTAAAAAATACAGTGATGCTGAACTAAACAGCTCTCCACACCAAAAAAAAAACCCATGCTAGTTGGTAATAGAGCTAATCTTAGAGAAAAGCCAAGATACTGCTATGAATCCTGTTGACTGTATTTCTTTCTTCTGTTTTAACCATCTAAACCTTAGTTTTACAAATTTGCCTGTAATTTGCCTTAGTAAGCTAGGATTTGCCTATAATTATTGGACAGAAATAGGAACTTCCAGAGGGGGGTTTATTTTCTCCTATATTAAGTTTCTGAGCTATGTGAAAAGAGTTACTCTCTAGACATGCCTACTTTAAGTGTTGAATAATTAAAAAGAAAGTTGAAAATGAAAGAAATTATAGCAAGAAAATCCCTCCATATAGCAGACCATGTTCTATAAATGTCAACTAACCAATGAAGAGCAGAATCAAACTTTATCTGTAGAACTGTTCAAAATTCTCATAACAGGTCTTATGTTAGAATCTAATAATTCTAATTGTAAACATCTCCAATTACAGAGATACACAACCAAATACACATAATCAGTAGAGACACATCTTACAGGGATCCTACAGATGTATGGAAAAGAGATGAGTAGTTTCTTGGTAGAAAATCTGGAAAAGACAATGTTGTCTCTTGAATTCTTACTATTTTTCCTTGCTATTATATGTTAGTTTACATAAGCGTCCTGCTTTATAGAATGGGCCAGATATGCAGATTTGTCTCTTGTTTTAATTTGATTTTTCTCTATCTTTTCTGTTATTTATTCAGTCAGCTACCCTTGACTGCCATGGTAATACCTTACCATACTTTTAGTCAATAAAAACAGATACACAGGCTGTTTTGTGGCTGTTGGTGATAACACTTTATGGACCTCTTGTCTACATCAAAATACTTCTGTTTTACTGAAAATGTCCCAAGCACTTAAATCTGACTCCAGTCACAAACGAATGTATTGCTGCTGTCTAAAGTAAAAGAATGATTTGATATGGGCTGTAACACTACTTATACAATATCCGGCACTGCTTATTACAATCGTCAGTCTTTGCTGAAACAAAGCTTCAAGCCAAGATTGCAATGAATCAATGAATAACACTCAGCCCTATAGAAGGAACCACCTGTGGCAGGGCCAAGGAAATGAGAGGGACCTTACAGCACTAATAACATAGTGGACTGCGTACTCCTACACCCCCAAAGTGGCACTGTTTCCTCTGAAGGCTCCTTGCATATGGAAAATGCTATGTCAGATTTAACTCATTTGTTTTTGATGCTTACCGTAGCTGGAACTGAGTACACCAAGGTTACTAAAGTAATTGAGAGAGAGCCACAGATTATCGAGAGAGAAATCAAGAAAGTCCATCTGGAAGGTTAGTTTGTCTAAAAATACAGTATCACCAAGACCTGCCTTGTCTGAAGTGATCATTCCAGGTGGGGTTTTATAGTATCTATTCACAAAAATTACTTAAGTCTGAAGCCAGTAGTTTAGCAAGAAGAGTTTTATGATTGTTTTGGAAAAGAATTCTTTCACTGATATTGCAGAGAAAAATGTTGAGGCTTATCTTGCGGCTAAGAGTAACTAAAGCATTTGGCAAGTGTAGTAGACAAGAGGAAATGTCTAAATACAAAGCTTAGGTAAAACATTTGAAGGGACAAGCACCATAAGAATTGCCTTTTCTCTAAGCAGCACATCCAGAAGAAGACCACGTGAGTTGTTTTTAACTTGAGTTATTTCTTTTCAGTGTTAATGTGATCTGTTCATGTGAGGGGTTCTCAACCTAGTGAATGGGGTGGAGGGTGGAGGGAATATAAACTCTAGGGTTGAGTAAATATCTCACAGGATCTTGGAATTTCTCTGCCTTTATCCTGTCATTAAATGAGGGAAGGTCTTGGGTTTGAAAAGCTGAACGGTGTCAATGAATCTCTTAGAGGAGCCAAATGCAGTTCAGCCTAGCTTTATACCAGGAATTTGTTCTAGTTTAACAATTGCATTTTTATGATATTCATTCAAAGTTAACAAGTAGCTTCTTTAGGGTTCCTTTCATATTTGTATGTATGTCTTTTTCCAACTCTGGTTCTAATTAGGCAGAATAAATTATGCTGTCAGCATTTGAACTAAATCATAGAATGGTTTGGGTTGGAAGGGACTTTAAAGATCAGCTAGTTGCAACCATCCTACCATGGGCTGGGGATACCTTCCACTAGACCAGGTTGGCCTTAAACACTGCCAGGGGTGAGGCAGCCATAGCTTTTCTGGACAACTTGTGCCACTGCCTCACAATGCCATCTTCTTTATATCAAATCTAAATCTATCCCCTTCCAGTATAAAGCCATTCCTCTTGTCCTATCCCTACATATCCTTGCAAAAAGTGCCTGTCCAAATTTCCTGTAGAACCCCTTTAGGTACTGGAAGACTGGTGTAAGGTCTCCTTAGAGCCTTCTCTTCTCCAGGCTGAACAATCCCAGCTCTCTCAGCCTGTCTTCATAGGGAATGTGCTCCAGCCCTCTGATCATCTTCATGGCCCTCCTCTGGACACTCCAGCAGGTCCATGTCCTGTTTTATTGGGGGCCCCAGAGCTGAACACAATGTGGAGAATGAAGTTAAATAAATATGTTTCTTAATTTTGAAGTCTATGCTAGAAACTGAAGTTATACCATAATGTTTGTATAACTTCAATGCTGAGTAGTACAAGGCATACAGTGAAGTCAACTGTTGCCTGAAAATAAAAGACAGGTGTGATTTTCAACCATGAGGTTTATTTGAAAGCATAATTATATGGACAGCATATAAGTATCGAAATCACACTTTGGATGGACCATGTTCTGTTCTTTTCAGGGCAGTGCAGAGCTTGAATATTTTTATCATGTTGGTACAGATACCCAGTATTTAGCCTCAGCTGTAATGAGGTGAAGCCAGTATTTCAGGATTATGCATTTATGTGCTCTGTGCTTCAGGATGAAAAGACTGCTGACTGCAGCTGGTTAAGCAAAGATGCAATACTTAATGCTTATAAAGAATTAAAAATACTGTAGTAACATTTCTGTAACAGTTACAGAAAAATTCTCTCTTATGCTTGTGAAACATTTTTCCTCCCAGTGAGGAGGCACCTGGTTTAAGAAATGTCTCAAGTTTTGATAAGAAAGAGGAAAAAGTGCCCACAGTTTCACTGAACCAGTATTTTGTAAAACATGTGTATCTGCTAATGAGAGTGGTATGTATTCAATAGCCATTGCTCTACCTTTTAAAACAGAAGTCTCTGAGAAAATAAACTGAACTCTAAATGTGGACTCAAAATGCAGATACACATCAAGGCCCAAACACAGCTGGAAATGTGTCCATCACCTTGTGAGGGTTGAGTTTCAAGCATAAATAATTCCTGAAGTAATGTCTCTTCAGCAGACCTGGGCATTCTCTGCCAAAAGCTGAGGCTGAGTCCTGGGCTGTACGTTAAACTCAGCTTGTATGTTGCTGACAGTGTCAGATGGTGTTTGCTGAATGAAGAGCATGGGCAAAACGTCCTGGCATCTGCCTACATCATGTAACCATCTGTAGATCAGTGGTGTGCATAATGGATTAATCCATACTATTAAAATGTAAAAATACTTTTGAAATGTTGCTAAGATTTGATGCATGACAGAAATGACAGAATTGTAGGAACAATAGTGTCATACGACAGAAATGTATGAATTGTATTATAAGCATTCATGTTTCAGGTCATCAGGTCAACATGTTAATGGGATGAAATTCTTAATTTACTGAAAACCTTAAAGAGCAAACTTCGCAAGTCAGCAATGGGTTTCCAACATTTCTCATGAGTTTTAATTCAATGCTCTTACAAATAATTTCTGACTGCAACATTTCTGTTTTGTAGAAGCACCTATACGGAAGGCACAACCAACCAGGAGGACACAAGGTAAAATCAAAACATATATTTAAACATATTAACGTGAATCAAAATTTTTTCTCAGTTATGTTAAAAGGCCAGGAGGAAAAAAAACACCTCTTAAGAAAACAGCTAAAAAGAACAGAGTTGTATTTATGTTTTTTTAATAAAGAAATTTTAACATAAGGATTCATTTTTTCCTCTTCACATATCTGTTTCACAAGTAAATGAAGTATACAGTGAAACTATATTATATATAATTACAGGTAATACTTATCGATTTTTTTCCATTCTTCCCAGGGGGAACACCAAGAAGGAGGACAAGACTAGCTAATCACTAAAAGCTTTCCAAGATAGAATCCATAAAATTACAAAATAACAGCATGGTCTTTGACAGGAAGATGAACTGGTTAATTAAAAAAAAAAAAATGTTAATAAAAAAAAAAAAAAAAAAAAAAAAACACAAAACAAAACCAACCAAACAAAAAACAAACAAACAAGCAAGATCCTTAGAAAATTACATTGTTTTGATAACAATGTAAGCTGAACCATGAATCCACAAAAAGATGTGAAGCTGTAGATTCTCCTTGCTAGCACAGTGCTTACAAGGAATAGTCCATCGGTTGGTGCTTTAACTGCTCTTGATAGTAAGCACTATTCAGGGTGGGATCCTGGCACTTCTGGAAAACCAGGATTCCTTCTTATGCTGGCTACTAAGTGTTTACAGGATTGGATTCAAAAAGAGCAGGGAACAATACAGAATGTATTTTTTTCTTTTTTTTTTAATACTATTTTTTAATACTATTTCTTCTAAATAAGAAATATAAATGAAATTAGAGCCTTTCTAGAAAAAAAGATCACTTCAGGTGACTTCTGAGGTAATCTAAGGAAATATGAGATGTTACAATAGCACTTTTGGTTCAGTAGTATGGTATGCTTTTTATAATTCAAACTTCATCATGTTTTTAATGTCATAATGACACCAGTAATGTTATCTTTTCTAAACAAACCAACATGTCTTATATTAAATGTATCCTTTTCTTTTTTTCTGCATTGCATATCCAAATGCCTTCTAGTAACATGGCTAACGGAAGCTCTTAAAAAGAATAAAAGCAAACATTATGAGCTTCTTGAAATGTAAGTTAGATCCTGTTGACTTCTTAAAGAAAAATCATTCCCTATACTAATACATATACTGAGATTCTTAAGCGTTTTCCCACTTTTCCCTAAATAAATTTTGATTATTAAAGTGAATTATAAAAGGCATAAATAAAATGCATGTAAACAGCATGGAAAAAGGTTTTACAAAAATGAGGCTATGTCTTGAAAGCTTTTATATCAAAACATGCTTTGCTAATATCTGGTACTAATGCGGAGTTTTCTGTAAATTATGTCAATTTTATACCTCTAGTTTTGGACTCATAAAACTTGTTTGCCTTTATTAACAAAAATTGGAAAACAATTACTCATGGAGTAGAAAAAATGTGTTCAAAGTGCCTTAATTCTGCAGACCAAATTTTCAGATGAGTTATCTAATGTGTTTTTATACTTCTGGTTTCAAGCAAATAATAAAGAATTTGGCTGAACTATGCTTGCTTTCTTTTGTAAATGTATTTTTTTAATTGTAAGCAAATTCTAAATATTTTTAAGCTTTTAGTGTGGTTTTAGTCAAAAAATATGTTTTCACAGAAGCAAACTGATGCTTCACTTTCTCACTTAGCACATCCTAATGCACTTAAACTGTATTACTTTCTTTAAACTCAATTAAAAACCTTCCTTAATTCCATAATCACACACCACAAGCACTACTCCCTGAATGGTAAAGCTATCTGAGCACTGGATTTATACGTTGCGCAGTCTTACTAGGCTGTCAGACTCTCTCAGTAAGGTGACCTCAGTATCTACTATCATCACTCTTTGTTGGAAAAATTGCTTTTAACCTTGGTTAAGAGCTTGATAGCTTTTAGACGAGAATGAGGACTTTTAAGTCGTGCCTAGAGGACAAATTAAAGCTGTCATCTTCCCCTGGGGACCTTTGTCTGTCATTAAATCATTAACCTTAATCTGCTTTCTTCACTGTTGTGCCACTGTGAGCTGTCAGTCAAGTAAGATTTTAAATATCTTAGAGGAAGAATGTGCTTGTGTTCTCTTCTTCCAAGAATAAATAGAAAATGGATCAAAACCTGTCTTGTAGTAGGACATTTTTTACTTTTCAAGTGGGAATAAATATGTAGAATACTAATTTAGTCATATTTTCTGATTTGATAATATTTTAGAGCCTCTCTGAGTCACTTAAATACCTTTCTTTACTTCACTCTTCATTAATAAAAGCGAAGTGAAACACAACAATTCCTTCATCAATACTTATTTCCCTGATACACTCCGTCCCCTGAGTCCTTCCTTGGCCACAGAAGGTGTCCACCTAGCCGCACTGTACACTGACATCTCTGTCACTGTTGGTATGGCTTTTTCTGTTTATCTGAACAAGAATCCTTCCACAACCCTATGCAGAAAGAAAATCAACATGTTCTTTCAATTGCTTTTCATATAGTTAGCAATTTCTGTCTCAGCACAGTCTTTCACCAAAGAGCAGAACTGGAGAACTTTTGTCACTATGACTCCTTCTGCCCCATTATCAATTCTCCACACCTCATAGTAATTTAAATTAATGTCATGTGATTAAACAAGGATTAGCATACTACCAAGTCAGAATGCTTACTAATAATAGGGAGCTCACTTTTTTTTTTTTTGATGTTTCCTTGTAATCTCTTGTGCATTTGTAAGTAGGAATGCCCAGCTGAGCTGGAGATGGAATTCTCAAAAGACTTTATCATCTGTTTCCTTTGGTATCCTGTATGAAAAACTAATGCCAAAGAATATTTAACTGGAAATGCTCACAAATCTGTCAGTTTTGCCAGCAGTGGGTGGCACATAAATGATCTATAAGATCAGTAAATATTTATTAATGTTTTCTTTAAAAAAATTAAATTTTAGGATTACACATTTAATTGTTACCTTGTGATTTTCTGGAAACTAGAAATTGTATCTACATGTTTTTCTTTGTGATGGAAGAGGGTGAATATTCATAAATAATCATAATTTGACAAGCATTGAACAGAGGAGACCATGGTGAATGTTTTTCATATATTAATTAGATAAGATGAATAAAAGTGGAAGCTGCAAGGCAGAGATATTATGGCCAGTGGATATTGTCGTAGTAGCATTCACTGGGTTGGTGGAAAAGGAACTTGAAATTGTCACAGCAATAAACTCTTTTTCAATGATGTCACTGAAATAATTCAACCACAAAACTATAAGTGGAAAGCAAGTCCTCAAGAGTAAAAAATAAATAAAATAAAATATTGTCAGGGTTGAAATTAATGAGTGAAGATTACAACAGAGAAATATCTTCAGGTAAAGTTAAATGTGAGGTGCAGACCAATGCATATACAAAAATATGTCAGAGGAGAAGACTGAAAACTTAAGAAGTGTCTTATAACCATAATTACTATTGGAGGAGACTTAAGGTGGTGGTGGGCAAATGCCTGAAGTAGCAATAGCAGAATAGATCTTATTCTAGATCACTGAATACGCTTTTTTTGGATATAAAATGGTCCTCTCTTCCTCTTTCTCTTATCTCCAATATGAAGTGACCAGCAAGGATGCCTGAACACTTCTTTGGCATGGATCTATGTGGTCAAAATATTCCTAAACTGGTCCTCTGAGCTTTGCAGTCATGTTAACTCTCCTTAGTTTAATACATATAAAGCCTAATTCTCAAATTTGCCTGCAGTAAAGAACAAGACAAAGTAATTAAAATCAACTTCACCAAAACAAAACTCTGTTTATTCTTTTGTTTAAAGGTGAAGATAATAATGTGACTTGTTCTTTTAGTACTTGAATCTCAGAATTGCTAAATGTCGGTCCCAGATGGAGGGTGTAAGTAAGGATAGCAGTCTAGGCACTGATCAAATAAAAGAAGACCATCAGGTCTTCTTTGAATATTGCTTTGAATATTGAGCTGCAGAAAGTTCCTGGTATGAGATCCACGACATGAATAGGATGTCCTCTTTGTAATCGGGCCTTGTGTGATGTAGAGTCTTTTTTTGAAATTCCTAATGGCACAGGGCTTCATGTTTAATTATTAAAGAAGGGTTTGTCTCTGCATCTCTTCTGCATAAACCACAACCATGAAGATTTTAAAAGATCACTTTCTCCTTTGTTTCACCATTCTCCAAATGTGTTTTTACAGCATTTCAAGAAAATGGAAGTATGAAGGTATAAACACTTGCCAACATTTGCCAAAAGCTGATTTTTTCAGTATAGCAATAATCTACTTTTGACATATACGAAAATTTTCACAGGAATAGATGACCTTTTTTTTCAATCAACATTAATTAAAAATTCAGTGATATATGAGTTTTGTGTTCAACTGCTAGCACAGAAGAGTAAGTATTATCTACAGATTCTACATGGGTAGGAGAATAATTCCTTGTGGTACAACTAATTAGTAAAAAAAATCGGGATGACACTATGTCATCAGGAGCACAGCACATTATTTGTTGAAAAGTAGCAGTACTTTCTATTCAGAAGACTTTTTCAGTCTCCTTTACAGCCAAAGAAATATATTCCTAATGCCATACTAGATTAAAATGCTCCTTTTCTTGCTGCTTTAACTGTCATCTTTTACATACCACAGAGCTCAAGCTTTCTTCAACAGATTTCTTCCTTGTTGAACAGAAATAACCTCTTTGATAGAACTTGCAACTCAGAGGAATGGAATCAGCAATTATACTTTGGATCATAAAGTTCACCCATTCTCATGTTCTGGGTTTTGCATTCTTGCTTGACTTACTGATCTGATGCATCTCTTTCCTGCTCAGATTTCTTAACTTTTAATTGCCATATCTACACTGCTAAATAAAACAGAATTGGAGTCTTTGCTCATGTATTTACATCCAGTGGCGCATGCAGTCCGCATCCACACTACTCAGCACTTTGTCCTCAGCTTCTTTTACCAGCTGGTGCCCATGTGGTTCAATTTTCTTGGCAGGGGCTCAGGAAGAATGCCTTTTTTTTTTTCTCTTGCTGCTTTAAAGTATGTGTGAAATAACGTAGTGCTTTTAAGGGTGCTGTTTTAACACAGCACAGAAGTTTTGCAATGTATGCACTGGTCGTAAAGTGTACAGGAGTCAACTGCCTACTGAGGCAGAATTGGAAGAAGTGAGAAGGCAAAATCTTTGCAGCCTTGTCTGTGCTGTCTGTTGGAACATTTCCTGGAATCTGTTGTTCACAGATTAATGCATAAGATGATTGGCTCAAAAACTACAAGCTGGCATGGGCTAAAACCATGCTATGGAAGGCATAGCAGAATACTGTGTCCAGTGCTTCATCTCA